TTTTGTGATCAGTCCTCTGATTAATCAATGGATATAAAAATGTGTATGTTTGGGAGAAGTGCACAGAAATGTGACTATCAGTGAAAATTACATATAATAATAAAAAACTGTTTGCAAATGTATATATTATGAAAAAGTGTATATAATAATACTCCATTGAGGAAATATATATAAATTTTCATATGGATTTCTACAGCTTGATATGGAACTAGCATAGAATGAATTTATGACTGAAAAAAATGAAAAACTGATAGAAGCCAGACGTGACATTTATCCATCCTTAGTCTAACAGTTGTATTTGCCAGGTTGTCATTTCCTGGAATATCCATTAAATTACTTCACACTTATTCTAACATGTCACTATTCAACTCCAGGTGAATGCATGCTAGAACTGTTTCAGTTTAGACATTTATCTTCAGATCAGAAGAAAAATTGTTTTCGGTAAGCTAACTGCTGTGAATTATATGTTTTCTAGAAATAACTCTTGACCCCACATCAGAGATGAGACCTCATCAGAGATTATCTTCCATCTTCAATAGATTTGTAATGTCACACTACATCAATATTCTCTTGAATAAGAAAATAATTTTCTATGATATGTGCTGCATTAGACTGAGAACAGGTGATGTAATTCTATTGATTCTTAATAACTTTGCTGTACTATGCTCTAACTCTGGCATTTAACACATGACTAAAAACAATGTGTTATTATTCTGCTTTTATATTGGTTTTTATATGTATAAATGTACGTATCTGCTATTTTCATAAATGAATCTTAATTTTGTTGAGACCTTCCTTTATTTATACCTGGGTTGTTTTAAATGCAGAATCCTTAGGGTCAAATGATATGTTAATATGTGGTTCCATGTAATGGTAGCCCTAAGGCTGCTTTTCTGCCACATAAGCATTCTCAGGCAGAGAAGTGGCTGGGGAAGAACTAAGTCTCTAAACCCCTTCACCTGCCTTGTTTCCCCGAAATCCTCCTCACCACACACATACATAGCTTTTAGCACTGTATTCCAGAATTATGTTTACTGTGTGAAATTAGAAATAGAGGAGATATTTATTCAGTTGATCTTTTCAGGCAAACTCACCAGATTTGCATTGCCTGAACCCCTACATGAACCAGAACACAATTAAATATCAATATCTACACTTTTCTGAAGATTGCATTCAAAATTGACATCTCCAAAAGTCTTAAAAATGAGTACAGTAAAAGCAAATTTATTGGTGGAAATTTTCAATAAAAATGCATACCATTTGAAATAGGCATATATTTTGAAAAAGGCACAGAAAAACATGCTTGAATTTCCATGTGGGATTTTATAAAAATTGCAAACTGATGCAGAAATAGGAGGAAATTATTATAATTTAGAGAAGGGAATGAAATGGAACTCCTGAGTTGGGGATTGTAGGAAACTGGGAAGAGAAGGTTTGTTTGGGAATACAGAAAGCTTAAAGGGGAGGCAGCCCTTATTCCTGTACTCACTCACCTGCTCACCTGTAACAGATCATCTGCAACCAAGGATCCACTGCAACACAGAGATGGCTGTCAGGCTAATGTTACATACAGCTACGTATGTTAAGATAGTACTGTTGGACCCTTGGACAAATCACAAAAGGCATATATTCTATATTACAAAGTAAGCAGAAATATTGCATTCCATTAAGTTAATTAAGAATGATTTACCTTGGCCTATGTCTACTCTACACATTGCTTGAACCCCCCACAAGAACACTTGCCTATCTGCATACAGACAAGAGCAGTAAGAGATACTGATCAGACATGATGCTAGAAAGTGTTCTGAATGAAACAGACATGAGCACTTAGAGCTGTCATATAGAATAGTATTTATAACTAGACCAGTGTCCCAGTCCAAAAGTCTCAAGGCTGATGCCAAACAGGAAAACCATTGCTATTATTGCAGTGAGAAAACAGTACATGGGGCAGCACAGTCTTACTGCTGAAGGGAGGAGTCCCAGCTCCAGCCTCAAAAACTTATTCCAGGATCAGGACTGGAACTAGGATGCAAAGATCATGTCACAAGGATGCTTTCTGGTGCTTATCAGACTTCTTTCCCATCTTTGGCCCTGCCCAGGAAATACACTGAGCCAAGTTCAAGTCCAGGAATGCTTGGAGACACGAGTGACTTTTTGTGCAAGTATGCAACGCCCACAAGACACGTGAATGGAAAGAGAACTCAACTTGCACAGTAGGCATGTAACAGCATGTGTGTAAGCCATCCTCATGGAAGGAAAATGCAAGTGCTTTGGCTTCCTTGCAAGAAAATGTGGGATATAAATATAACAAAAAGTAAATTGAATAAAGGAGAAGCATCCTTCCTAGTTGTGGTGCTTCGTGTACTTATTGGGACTCAATTCCTGCCAGATGTCAATGCAAACACTCAGCATGGGACACACTTAGGAAAGACAGAAAGCACGCTGGAGTCTGGGGAGCCAGGCTGAGGAAATCCAACAGATTCCCATCCCGGAACTAGATTTGTCACATCTCTGTATTTGGAGTACCTTCCTCCACCTTGCAGCTGTCCTGGAAAGAACCATGCCAGCTGCTCCTTCGAGACGGCAAACTTGATCTCAGAGGCAGGTCTTTTGAGCATTCTGGGGATGCAGGGAGGGGAAAGAAGAGGTACTGCCATGGTACGAGGTTTCCTGGCAGTGCTTCAGCCTCTTTCTGTTGTGCTCTGAGGCACAACACTCAGATAGCCAAGATCTGCCATCTAAATGTTGCAGAAATTATCTTCACCTTTGCATTCCTCTTGCTTTCCATAGGATGCTGTGTGTGTTTGTCTGTTCTACTTATATTCTACTATAGCAGTCTGAAGAATCTCCTTGCAGATTACAATATTACATAAAATAAGAATAAAAACAACCTACAATAAAGCAGAGAAATACGCAGCAGTGGTCAGATATCAATAAGTTAAAATATATTAAAGGTAAACACAGTACAAATAATATCCAAGTATAAAATCAATTATTAAAATATCCGGAGGACTGTTTTCGCTTGGCACTTAAAAGATTATAAAGATGGAGCCAGGTGAACTACTTTTGGAAGACCATTCCATAAATGTAATCCTCTGAGTTTCAAGGGCTACAAGCATCCATATCGGATTGTCCCAACAGTCATCTTAAGGACACCTAACTAAAGATGTTCTTAATAGTATCTTTAAGGTGTGTCCCTACAGACTGAGATTTCTGACAGACAACCTGTAAGAATGAGTTAGGTGCAGTGGTTAGAGTGCTGGACGGAAGTCAGGAAATTTGAATTTCAGACTCTGCTTAGCTCTTCGGCTCATGGGGTAACTTTGGCCCAGTTACTAATTTTCTGCCTAACATACCTCACAAGGCTGTTAAAAGGATAAAATGGAAAGGGTAATGTAAGTTGTTTTGGCTTCCTTGTAAGAAAAAAGATGGACTATAAATATAATGGAACCTAAATTAAATAAAGAAGAAGCATCCTTCCTAGTTGTGGTGCCTAGTTAGAGCATATCCTCCTCATGAAGTTACAACTAGTGCCAACATTGCAATGTTTTAGCACCAGTGTGAAGCCCTTTTATTTTCCCAGGAATTTTATTTATTTATTTAGAAAATTTCTATGCCGCCCCATTCGCCGAAGCCTCGGGGCGGCTCACAAACCAATTTTACTTGGTTGATTTTGTTTGTTCTGTTGTATTTGCTTCCTTCTCTGTTTTTCTCATGATGACCTGGTTTTAGTGTTTTGTTGTATTACATATTATGACATTTGATAACCATCATGGTATCTGCAAGGATGAAGGAGAATTAAAACATTTTAATATACAAACAATAAATTATGAAAGAGTTGGGTGGGGAACTTGTTCATTCTCTTCTTCTTTACAGTGGAAAGGATAAAGATCAAGCAAGCTGCCTTGGATTATTTTCAAGAGGAAAAAAGGCGGGTATAAATGTAATGGAAGAAGTGGAAGAAGGAAAAACACTGCTTTATATTCATTAGCATGAAGTTGGGATTGAAGGACCTGAGAACCCCATGGTGAGGAAAGAAAGTTGGGAAACCACTACAAGAATGTCCAGTGGTCATGGTCCGGTGGTCATCCACTTCTTTAAAAATGAAGAGATCCTCAGCATTAACACAGGCCCCAGTTAGAGGGCTCCTAGAGCTACCCCTTAGAAGGCACCATGCAACTATTCTACCTTTTTCTCCTTAGCTTATTTTCTTTGATAAGAAAGAAGAGTAAAGTAGTGGCGGTGGTGGTAGTAAAACACAGGAGAGTTACAAATGGAAGATACCTCCACCTGTGCAATTCTGGGAATCACCCAGGGTGATGGCTCAATAAAAGCACTGCCTGGAAGCACCCAAGAGGGAGGAGGACAAATGGATCACAATACAGACTCAAAACCTGGCTGTGTGCACACCAAAAGCTGACACATGCAGTAAATTCCATAGACTGAAGAGCAAACTGAGGTTTTCCTAGGCACAAACTGTGCATGAATCTTTGGGAATACTGTGAGCGAAGACACATTAATCTCACAGAAATCAGCACAACATCATACTTTCTCTGTTAAGCATAACACAGTGTCTCACTGTCTATGTACAGATAGTTGTGTCTTGGACATGTATACAGCATACACACAACACACTGAAACAACCTATTTCTAATCTGCTTTAGGCAAAGAGATCTCTTACAGATGCAGTGACAGAACAACCTAAGCAGAAAATTAATCATATTTTGTTTCTGTGCATGGGACAGAAAACTGTCAAGTCACTTTGAACCTGAAGTAAGATTAGAAAGATCTCAGAAGTACAGAAGTATTAGGTTGGCTAATTTGCAGTGGGTATTTTGGGGACTGTATATTTGTAAATAGATTCTGGATTGACTGACCTGCTCTGAAAATGAAAATTTGACTGCAAACTCATAGTAACTGTTCTGCTCCGATAGTGAGTGTGGAGCTGTCAAAAGTTGCCAACACCTTGTTTGACAGTTGAACACTGTTTCTGCACTTACCCTAACATCCGGCCTCTGGAATTTTGCATTCTTGGTTGTGATGCCCGTGGCTTTGGCCCACTTCGTAACCATTGGTGTGAGGTGTCTGTCCTTTGTTTCTGCTGCAGAGTCCAACTCAAGCTTCTGCCTGGAGAATCAGTTTTTGTCCCAGGGTTGTTGGTCTGTGATCTGACATTTGTGGGCACAGAGTGCTGTTTTCGGTTTTCCCTCCCTGCCAGGTTTCTCCTCCAACCATTGGAGGCTACAACGGTTTGAGGCGTCACAGGAGCATGGTCCAAAGTGGAAAGAGGGTTGTGTACCTGAAACAAACTGAACACCTTGTTTGTTGGTCCCAAGTTATCTTGGTTCCGGAACTGTAGTCGACTTGTTTCTCTGCTCCCAGAATCAGTTCTGACAGAAGGATTTTGATCATATTGCCCAGCAAAGACTCTCTGGCAATCAATAGCCCCCGCAAAAAGTGCTATGGTTAATGGAAGAAGACTCCTCCAGGAGCCCCTCATGGTTTCAGTCCAAGAGGAAAACCACTCCACCGCAGAACTGGTAGTTTCATATGAGTGCAACCGGAGTTTGGGGGCAGGAGGTGTAGAAGAAGGCAGCCTAGCTAAATTCCTCCTGCACGTTTCAAAGCCACTCACATCTTCAGGTACATCTACAAGAGGCTTAATCAGAGCCTGCTGTCCGAAGGAGAAGGAGAGCTCAAAAGAGCAATAAAACAGTGCAGGTCTCCCAAAGCTGCAGCAACAGTACTCCTCCTACCTTAGAAAGAATGAGAACTCCCAGCTTCTCCCTCTGCCCGTCCCCTCTCTGTTGGCTGTCAGAGCTTGTGTGTTCTTTGCAGACAGCTCCAAGCACCTTCTTGCTTGCCTCTGGCACTGGCAGGCTCTGGAAGGGATGGATGGTTTTATTTTTGGAAACCTCCCCCTTTTGTGCCTTTTTGATGCTGACATCGCCCCTCTCCAGAGGACACAGCTCAGCCCCCCCTTCTTACAAGAGACATTCCAGCAACACCCACTTTGGCAAAGGGAAACAAATTGCGAGAGAGAAATATTAACCCCTGAACAACCAGAGAGGCCCATCCACTGCTTAGCGAAAATTCTCCCTCTCCCCCACCCCACATACATGCGTGCGTACTCCAAGCTAAACAAAATCTGTAGGTCAGCTTCCTCAATGTATAGCATGCCCTAGAGTTTTTATAAACAGCATTAACTGTTTAGTGAATAAAAGTGGAGCAGAAGCAAGCATGAAGGGTGAAGACTGAACCACAATATTCTCAGGCATCAAGCAAAATCCTTTTCCTGGTGCTGCAAGCTGAGCACCACCTTAGCCAATGCATTCAAGCTTGAAGTGGGTGTGTGATCCAGATTGTGATCACAGCAAGGATTAAATGTGGAACTACTCTTGTCTTCCATGCTATAGTCCTGACTAAATTTCCCCCATGCTATTTGCCCTGTGAGGTAAGTTGATGTTTCCTCAGTGATAGTAGCAGCTCGTGGAGTGGGGGACTCACTGAGGTAATGGCTTTAAATGGACTCACTGACCCCCCTCCCCATTATGGTCCCAATCTGCACCCCATTTCTTACCCTCTGCATTTTTTTTTCCAAAATGCAAGGGCAAATCACACATCTAACATGACATGTAGTTCAACCTAGAGATCCCTACTGAGAGATATCAGAGACTGAACCTGGTAAAACAAAGAGAAGAAGGGCTCTAATTGATCAGATGAGAAAAATACCTATTTAGTCCAGCATCCTGCTTCCACAGTAGTCAACGAGATTCCTCTGGGAGGCCCACAAGTCAGTGCAAAGCTTAGAACATAGGAGTCATTGGCTAGATATGCTTAAACTGCTTTTAGTTGGTTTTCTTTTTTTAAAGGCTAGGTAACTTTAAGTGAAAACTGCAGTGTAGCTCCTTTATAACAGGCATGCCTCACTTGTTGAAAGTCACCATCAAACAGATTCCTGGGAAATTTCAGCCTGAATTTTTCCAGTACCTTTCACAGGATAGGAAATACATAAGAATGCCCATTTGTGGCTCTGAGTGCTAGTCACACAATACTAGAACTGTTAAGGGTTAAGAAGATGTCAGTTCTTGGGTCAATACCGCACTAGTGTTCAAAAACCAACAATGCTTTGCGTTTATTTTATTCTACTTACTCTATATACTGTACTCACCTTAGAAATTTGGGGGCTTCTTGTGCTCTAGATTCTAGTACTAGTACTGGTTTTTAAGGGGAATTAGATGGAAGTTGATTAGTTTTGGAGTGCTTTGGCTCTGTTAGATGAGTGAATCCTGCACATTTCTGCCACAGCCCCAACAGCTTAAGCTTGGGGCCAAATTATATGCAACAGTACCCATACCTGTAGCCTTCTGTGAAACTGTTTGCTTGTTGTTTTTAATAAGTAGCCAGCATGTGGAGAGCTGGATTGAAACCATAGCATGGGGTTTGCTTCATAATGGTCCCAATCTGAACTGAGATCTCCTACAACAGCCATTTGCAGTGAAACGAAAGGTTCCATTTATTTAGCACCCAAATAGCTGAGGCTGGTTCAGACCCCTATGTTGGCTATTCATTTTTTAAAGATCAGCAATGCAAAGGTTAAAGATAATGACATAATGTCGTATCTAATTTGGCCCACACATTACGCTTCTGCAGGGCTCAAACAGCCCAGCACAGCCTGTAAGCTGCTCAGTTGAAATAAGGCAACTAACTATACTGACATCTGTACTGGTGCAAATAAAGCTTACCTGCCCCTGTTTGGAGGAAGGGTAGAGCACTAGGACAAAAGTAAGTAATATGGTAATCTCCATGTTTTGGGTTATATATGGATTACCCAGCATGGTAAATGCAATGAGGGATAATGGGAGCTGTAGTCCAAAAGATCCAGAAAGCACTAGGTTGCCTTTCCTTACACTAGAGTATCAAGAAAATTACAGTATCCTTGATTTGCTAGTTGGCAATCAAGATTTGTTATTTGGTAATTAGCTTTTATCAAATATCAGACCTCTTATATGTTTACATCTCCAACACACCCTGCTCCTACCATTGTTCTTATAGCTACACTTGTAATTCTAGTGCAAGTTTTCATGACAGAAGTACATGCTTCCTCTCTCATATCTCACATATCTCTATTCACAAGTGAATGCTATTTATGTATTTATCTATTCATTCTCAGTGATGCTGCAGTAAGAACATCAGGCTAGCAATAGGGCCACCCAGCTTCAAGTTCCCACTCAGCCATGGAGCTTACCTGGTGATTTCAGGTCAGGCCTTATCACTCAATCTAAACTATCTCATGGGGTTGTTGTGAAGATAAAATGGGAGAGAGGGAGGAATGATGAATGCTACTTTGGGCTCTTCAGAGAAAATAGTGGTTACAAATGAAATTCATGTTTATATTTATGCCACTTTTCTATTACAAATATTCAAAGTAACTTATATGATACTCTAGCAGTAGAGTGATTGTTGAAAAAGAAAACCAGAATGCAAGTTGTTGTGAATGGTTTGTCATGGACATAACCTGAGTGGGGGACTGACTTAAACCACTCAAAAAGGAGTGATACTGGTATAGTTAAATACCAGCAAACTATGTATGAAATCAATTATTCAGAAACTTCCTAAACAGTTCTCCACAAAGTTTCCCTTCCTGACTCTAATTGTTACACAGAGGGAGCTGGGACTTCATCTGCTCCTCCTCAATACTGTAACTAAAATGTTACACACACAATATAAATGTATACCCTCAACAGAGCCCTCAGGGCTGCTTATAATGTAAAACATAAAAAATCTTGTTAATACCAATAAAACATTTTTAAACACATAAAACCCATAATAAACAATAGCAGAGGTTACTGATCTAGAGGTCAGAGTAGCTCAAAGTGAACTTTAAGTAGTGTGAATCTCCCGCTCAAGTTATCTAAAAAGTGATGCCAAGATTAATAGCATCCTTGGGATATCTTCTCCATGAATTTCTATTGACGTCACAGAGTCTTTCTCAAAGTACATCCTAGGCACCTTTCTATTAGCTACACTAAATCTAAACTTCCATCAAATGACTTTCATGACAGGCTGAAAAGTCACAATGGTAAACTGTAAGGTATTTAATTAATTTATTTATTTAAAATATTTATATGCCATCCTGTCGCAAAAAGCCTCAGGACAGCTTACAACATAAAATATAACATAAATAAATTCCCGACCCACACTGGCTGCAGTTAAAAACATAGAAAAGACAATATTAAAACTTATTAAAATATTGCTGGAATAAAAAGGTCTTAACCTGGCGCCGAAAAACAAATAACAACGGTGTCAGGCGGACCTCTCTGAGGAGCACATTCCATAAATGGGGTGCCACTGCAGAGAAAGCCCTCCTCCAGGTACTTTGCCTCCTAATATCTTTTCATGGAGGGTTCCCGGAGGAGAGCCTCTACTGCCAATCTCAAGGGGCAGGAGGGCAAATATGGAAGAAGGCGTTCCTTCAGGTATACAGGTCCCAAGCCATTAAGGGCTTTATAGGTAATAACCAGCACCTTGAATTGAGCCCGGACGTCAATGGGAAGCCAGTGAAGCTGGTAGAGGACTGGGGTTATATGAGAATAATGCCCAGTCCCCGTCAGCAACCTGGCTACTCTATTTTGCACCATCTGAAGTATTTGGACTATCTTCAGGGGCAGTCCACGTAGAGCGCGTTACAGAAATCCAACCGGGAAGTAACCAATGCATGTGTCACTGTCGCTAGGCAGTCTTCCTCCAGGTAGGGACACAGCTGATAGATTAGCCGAAGGTGAAGAAAGTGCTCCTCGCCACTGCAGTCACTTGAGCTTCCAAGGACAGCTCTGGGTCGAGGAGCACTCCCAAGCTGTGGACCCTGTCCTTTAGAGGGAGTGCAACCCCATCCAGGGCAAGGTCCAAGTCACCTATCCAGGAGCTCGATCCACCCACCAACAGGACTTCCGTCTTGTCTGGATTAAGTTTCAGTTTATTGGCCCTCATCCAGCCATTACCTCAGCTAGGCACCGGTTCAGTGCAGTCACTGCCTCACCTGGATCGGTTGAAAAATTGAGGTAGAGCTGGGTGTCATCAGCATATTGATGATTCTGCAGCCCAAACCTCCTGATGACCTCTCTCAGTGGTTTCATGTAGATATTAAATAGCAAGGGGGACAAGATGGAACCCTGCGGTACTCCATGGCATAACTGCCATGGCGCAAAGCCAAAGTCCTCCAGCACCACCTTTATTTATTTATTTATTTATTTATTTGGAGTGGAAACATTGTCAAGCAGTGCCTCCTACTCCCAATCCTGCCAGCCTATCCATAAGGATACCATGGTCGATGGTATCGAAAGCTGCTGAGAGGTCCAGGAGGACCAACAGGGACGCACTCCCCCTGTCTCTCTTCCTGCACAGTTCATCATACAGGGCAACCAAGGCAGATTCAGTACCAAACCCAGGTCTGAAGCTGGACTGAAATGGGTCCAGATAATCAGTTTCATCCAAGAGTGC